GCTCATGTGTCCATAATCAGCGTTCATCTTTGTCGCCGCTTAAGAAAAGTACTCACGCCCCCTGCTACCGAAGCTGTACGTGTGGCCGATGGCGGCACTGTTCCTGTCATTGGCATGTGTACGGCTCGCATACGCATCGCCGACCGTTACATCCCTGTTCTATTCACGGTGCTCCAGAACTGTCCTCATGACCTCATCTTAGGGATGGACTTCCTGTCGACCCATTCTGCTCTCATCGACTGTTCCGCTGGTACTCTTTGCTTAGACCTTCCTCTTCAGCCGGATATTCACCCTGAACCTCAACACGGCCTTTCTGCCACAGACTTCCTCCGCTTACCGCCTAAAGCCCTCACATTCACCGAATTTGCCACGACCTCACCCGTATTGGATGGGAATTACATCGTCACGCCGATTCCTGATGTCCTACTGGCACGTGACGTCACCGTCCCTCACTGCATCGTAACTGTAGCCTCCAACCGGACCCGTCTACCCGTCATAAATTTCGGCTTCACAAAGCAAGTCCTCCCTGAAGGCATCCTAATTGCCACGTTGCGGTCCTTAGCCGATGATCACGTCACCACTTTCGCAGCCGACGCATGCCCCAATTTTCCTTGTCGCCCACTCGATGCCACATGCCTCGACATGTCAATACGTCCCATGATCGACCCTGACCTTCCCCCAGCGCAATCAGCCGCTCTCGCACGCCTTCTAGCTTCCTACCGTGACATCTTCGACCTTGACGACCGCCCACTCGGCCAAACTTCTCTTGTAAAGCACCGCATCAACACCGGTGATGCTGCTCCCATTCACCGTCGACCGTATCGCGTGTCCGCGTCGGAGCGCCAGATTATTCAAGCTGAAGTGAATAAGATGTTAACTAAAGGCATTATTGAGCCCTCATCAAGCCCATGGGCGTCACCCGTCGTCCTGGTTAAAAAGAAGGACAACACATGGCGTTTTTGCATCGATTACCGGCATCTAAATCGAATCACCAAAAAGGACGTGTATCCTTTACCACGTATTGATGACGCCCTAGATTGTCTCCACGGCGCACGCTACTTTTCATCCATCGACCTTCGTTCTGGTTATTGGCAGATTGCCGTAGACGAGAAAGACCAAGAAAAGACCGCCTTCATCACTCCAGATGGCCTATACCAATTCAAGGTTATGCCCTTCGGTCTATGCAATGCCCCCGCCACGTTCGAACGTATGATGGACTCTCTGCTACACGGGTTCAAATGGTCAACATGCCTGTGTTACCTAGACGACGTCCTCGTATTTGCACCTACGTTTGAGACCCACCTTGAGCGTCTGTCGGCCATTCTCGACGTCTTCCGCAAAGCTGGCCTCCAGTTGAACTCCTCGAAGTGTCACTTCGGCCGCCGACAGATTACCGTGCTGGGCCACCTTGTCGATGCTTCTGGTGTGAGACCGGACCCTGAGAAAATTCGTGCCGTCACGAGTTTCCCAGTACCCCAATCCGCCAAAGATGTCCGGAGCTTTGTGGGACTTTGCTCCTACTTTAGGCGGTTCGTGAAAGATTTTGCGGCAATCGCCCAACCACTTACCGATCTTTTGAAGAAAGGCGTTCCATTTTCGTGGGGGTCCACTCAAGCTGCCGCCTTCTCTCACCTCATAACACTTTTGACGACGCCCCCTATCCTCGCCCACTTTGACCCATCTGCCCGAACTGAGGTCCGAACTGATGCCAGTGGTCACGGTATCGGAGCCGTTCTCGCCCAATGCCAACAGGGACACGACCGCGTTATCGCGTATGCTAGCCGCCTCCTTACACCTGCAGAGCGTAACTATTCGATCACGGAGCGAGAATGCCTTGCTCTTGTCTGGGCGGTCTCAAAATTCCGTCCATATTTATATGGCACTCACTTTTCCGTCGTCACCGACCACCACGCGCTCTGCTGGCTTTCATCCTTAAGAGATCCTACAGGTCGACTTGGTCGCTGGGCTCTGCGACTGCAAGAATACACCTTTTCTGTGATATACAAGTCTGGACGCCTGCACCAGGACGCCGATTGCCTTTCTCGCTATCCAGTTGACCCATCGGCCACCATACCTGACAACGACGCCTGCGTGTGCTCCGTTTCTCAACTGAACCACATAGCCGACGAACAACGCCGTGATGCAGCCCTACGAGCTATCATTGAGCGCCTCGACTCCTCCCCATCGAACCGATCCTATCGCTCGTTCGTACTCCAGAATGGCACATTATACCGGCATAACTTCCATCCAGACGGCCCATCTCTGCTGCTTGCCATACCCAAACACCTCCGCTTGGCTGTACTCCACGAACTTCATGACGTTCCTACTGCCGGTCACCTGGGTGTGTCCCGCACATACGACCGGATTCGCCGTCGCTTCTATTGGCCAGGTCTGGCACGGTCCGTCAGAAGATACGTCGCGGCGTGTGAGGAATGTCAGCGCCGCAAAACACCATCGACGCTTCCGGCTGGGCGCCTTCAACCACTCGATATTTCTACGGAACCTTTCTTTCGCGTCGGCTTGGACTTACTCGGCCCTTTTCCTCTGTCTTCTGCTGGCAACAGGTGGATAGCTGTGGCCACAGACTACGCCACACGCTACGCAATCACACGCGCCCTTCCAACAAGTTGCGCCACTGACGTCGCCGATTTTCTTCTACACGACGTGATCTTGCAACATGGTGCTCCACGCCAGCTGCTCACGGACCGAGGCCGCACATTTCTATCGAAAGTCATAGCGGACATCCTACGCTCTTGTGCAACACGCCACAAGCTCACTACGTCGTACCATCCGCAAACAAATGGCCTCACAGAACGCCTGAACCGAACCCTAACTGACATGCTTGCAAAGTACGTTTCCTCAGATCACTCTGACTGGGACATCGCTTTACCATACGTGACATTTGCCTACAATTCTTCGCGCCACGACACGGCTGGTTACTCCCCTTTTTTCTTGCTGTTCGGCCGCGAACCCACATTACCCCTCGATACGACGATTCCGTTACCAGCAGCTCCAACTTCACAATATGCTCTGGACGCCATCAGCCGGGCCGCCCACGCACGCGAAACCGCTCGTGCTCGCCTTCTGACCTCCCAAGCAAACCAACGGCGTCGGTACGACCAACGACACCGCGATGTGCACTTTTCGCCCGGTTCGTTGGTTCTGCTGTGGTCTCCGACCAGGCACGTTGGCCTGTCTGACAAGCTGCTCTCTCGGTACACAGGGCCCTACAGAGTGCTTCGTGAGGTGACTCCCGTCACTTATGAAATCACTCCTGCTGCCTCGCCGTCTTCATCCACCCCTAGGGCCACCGACATCGTACACGTCGCACGCCTGAAGCAGTACCACTCGCCCAATGATCTTGACATCTAGATGCGCCGAGACGGCGCCTTTGCCGACGGGGGTTATGCTACCTGTAGGCTGCCACAAACCATAGTGCGAATGCGCGTGTGCGCCCGACGAGGAAGATGAGGCTCGCTGGCTGCTCGAGCTCGGAGCCAGACTGGCCAGTGCTGCAACCGCTCTTGCAAATATATTTTTCGAATATATTCGCAATACTTTGTCTCGTTACTCACGTAACAATATTATATATCAATGGATGCCTGGACATATCGGTATTACCGGAAATCAATTAGCCGATGATGCAGCCCGCTCAGCCCATGAAGAAACCCGTGTAGTCCCGATTCCTATATCAAGGAATGATGTAGCAAGACAACTTTACCTGCTGGCTCGAGATCTCACACGCACGTTCTGGTCGTCTACCAGCTTCCAAAGGTGTCAATATTATGAACTGGATCCTTCGCTCAAGCTAAAGCTAACATCACAACTTTCCCGCTCCGATGCGACACTGTTATGCCGCCTTTGATTGGGTGTTGCATTTACGAAGGTGTACTCCTTTCGCATTGGTATGGCAGACACTCCTACATGCGACTACTGCGGAGCTGAAGAGACCATCGAACACGTCCTGTGCAGCTGCGCTTGCTATGACACACAGCGATGCCAGCTCCGAATGGTTTTGAATCAACTTGACCCCGGACCATTTTGTGTGCAGAAGATACTAGGACCTTGGGCATCTGCCTCAGTTGCGCAGAAAGCAACTAAAGCACTGCTACTTTACCTAAAGTCAACAAACCTGAGCGACCGCCTATAGACTGTGTGTGCTCCCCGAGTGTGCTCGTGATTGTGTGTACCTTCTCATCTTTCTGCAACCTCTTTTCTACCCTTTATCCATTCCCCAGTGCAGGGTAGCAAACCGGATGTGCGTCTGGTTAACCTCCGTGCCTTTCCTTGCATCTTTATCTCACTCTCTCTCTATTAATGTGACAACACGCAGTCGCCACATTTTCAGTAATAAAGTGTTCGACCGTTCATGACGCCTGTCAGATGTACTGACTTTAGATACACAGACAGTGCATGAACGTCTATGAATGAGATGAACAAGGCAGATGTTCTGGGAACTGTGCAGCTTTACTTGATGATGAACTTCAATTAAACCTCGCTCGGGCACAGTTGATGCATTATTTTTAAGGTAATCATTTCGGCGAAAAAAAGGACGGACCACAGAGGAAGATACGAGGCAAGCACTAGCGCTGTGCTTGTATTTCAACACTGGCGTTGTATTGTGGTCCGTCCTGGTTTGCGCTGAGATCTCCACGCTCATAATTAACTTTATGACGAGCCATGGAGCTGAAAACACCGCTGGAGCTGCCCTGGTGAAGACGTCACCTTGTCTAAATGTGGCAGCAACATTTCTTGCAGTTACAGGCTCCAGTGATATTCCATGTTACATGATTTCTCCTCGCGCAAGAAACACGAGTAAAAAATTATTGTTGACAAAAAACATCTATAGGTCAACGGCACGGAGAAGGCGCGAATAATGTCGCCTAAGGCTTGAAAACCGTCGCATTCATTTGATTGCGAACGAACCTAATGATTGTATATGGAAATGCAAAGTAAAAATACCAGTGCAGGACCACAGAATGCTCGTAATTTGGACTTACCAGAAACCAGTGTGCAATGTAGATTCTCTCGCGGGCCATTCCAGGCGTAGCCACAAGCACAAAAAAATGAACGAGGTAGACGGAAAAGGTTAACCGGCCAAGCGGCACGAATGCCTCCCACGCGAGGAAACGGTTGACCAGGCCTGCGTAAGTGAAAACCCCAGTGAATAATTACACACAATTGTGTGCACAATGTTGCAAAACTAATACACGAAACTCCTAACTTTTCAGCATCAATGTTGAGCTCTGCGCATGTTGCGATCAAATCGATTGAGTAATAATAAAGATATGAAAGCTGATTCATGCCAAAGGCATGAGGGGTGATAGTGACTGACATCGACTTAAGGAAGTCCACAAACATTACGCATTGTTAGAAAGTCACAGATTTGCTGCAAAGACGAAGCAATGAACGCGATAGCAACATATTGGAGCGTCACGCACAGAATGGCAAGCAGATTGAAACGCGCTTTGCGTTTTTCACGCACAAATGACGCATGAAACGTACTCACAGGTACAGATTAACGCGAATAAGCGTCTCAGTTGTTACCTCGCTGTGTCTGAAAAGCACGCCCTTTTCGCAAACGGAGGCTCTGCAGCGATTGCAGTGACCTTTGTACGCCCGGTAACTACAACATAAACGTTCTAGTGAAAACCCAACGCCAGCCTAGACGTACGATCATCCCACCGCGAGATAAGGGCGCGCGAGAGATCACCACTCACCTCCTCCCCGCGGGCCAAAGCACGCGTGAAAGGTGAGAGCCGCCGCGCGCTCATTGCACCATCTTGCTGATAATGCTGAAAAGACGATAGTTCTCCTCCGAAATGCCCGCCAACAGCGGTAAGTGGTAAATATAAATAGTTCGCCGTTTTAATGTTGATGGGGGTTCTCCTCGGTGGCGTAGTGGTTAATGAATCGCATTCATGACGCGGACGCCCCACGTTCGATTCTGCGTGCCGGAGTCTTTATTTTTTTTCTTTTTTGCGTTTTCATATATATATATATATACGGTGCATGGCACCGACGCCAGCGGCGAAATCCAGCCAAGTGTGTCCATATAATTGCTAGTGCAATAATAGGAACGAAAAGTAAAAAGGGGTGCCATCGACCCTGGCTCGCACTACAATCACCGCGTTGGAACAAATTTCGGCATTCTGTTGCAATAATACATAGATAATTCTCTTCATGTAATAAAATCATTGGTTTCTATGTAAACAAGTTTGTTATAACTTTCTTATTCAATCACTCACACATAGAAAGACCCGCACGAACATAAATAAAGTATGGTTAAACCCTCCCTCACCCGCCCCCCCCCCCCCAAACAAAAAAAAGTTTGGCTACGCCCCTGGTAGGAGGAAGCACTGCACAGTGCGATGTGAATAAGTGCGATGTGGATTAACAAAAATAAATTAAGAGGGTAAAGTATAGCTGGCCAGGCACGCACACAGCAAGATCTTCTTACCCCCTTTTCGCGATAGGGCAAGTGTTCCTGAAATATGTGTTTTCCCGTGCTTCATGAGGGGGCGGTATCACACTAAATGTTGCTGCTCCAATATTTCCCGCCACTTAACTTCCACTTTTCCACATTAAGTTAACATGGTCACGTCATCGCTTCCATCAGCCGTACAGGTCAGCGACATCGTACGCGTAGCACGTTTGAAGCTCTGCCACTCTCCCGATGACGTTGACTTCTAAATTCTCCGAGACGGCACATCCGCCGCTGGAGATTATGCCCGACGAGGAGAACGAAGAGCTGTCGCCACTCCCGGTTTGAGCTCAACCGGTCAACGCTGCAACATTTACAATCTCGTTGAACAGGCGCTTGTCGTTCACAAAACGATATATGTGGTACGCGAAAGGAAGCTGACCGGCGTGTCCCGACGCGCAGGCGTAAAGGATCCAGGCTATTCCTGCGGCGAACAGCGTGCGGTGAAGCCCGTTGTAGAGTACCACGTCAGCGCCCCAAGGTGGCGCTCCTTTCTGCCACTTGAACGCGCCGAACACTCCATAGACGCAGGCTGCCGTCGAGAACGACCACATGGCCAGCTGCGCCATCTGAAAAGAAACAGGTTTTTCGTTAGGCTGAATCAATCAAACTCCGTTGATGCAAGCTTAAAGAGACACTAAATTGAAATAATGGATTGCTTTATGTTGATATTGTTGCGATTGTTACTCTTCCGAACAACAACCACAACGATGTTCCGAAGTCGCAATCATTGCCATTCAATGCCTCTGCCACACCTGTGTCGGCGACAATAAGCAATGACTTAACACCTGATCAAACTGAAGATTTGCTCGCCCTGTTAAATTGACACCGTTCTCTATTTGACGTGAACTCGCCCGCCCTCAGCATGACTACCACCGCTACTCACAGCATCCAGACTGACGGCTCTCGTATTGTACATCGGCGTCCATATCGCGTGTCTCAGGCAGAACGCAAGATCATCGAGGAAAACGTCTCAGACATGCTACGACGCAACATCATACGTCCTTCCTCGAGTCCCTGGTCATCCCCAGTTGTTCTCGTTCAAAAGAAAGATGGGACAGTGCGTTTCTGCGTCGATTACCGTGCGCTAAACAAAATAACGCGCAAGGATGTTTATCCCCTCCCTTGGATCGACGATGCACTCGATTCATTACAGGGCGCAGAGTATTTTTCCAGCCTCGACCTTAGGTCAGGCTACTGGCAGATACCAATGTCGGAGTCTGATAAAGAGAAGACCGCCTTTTCAACGCCAGATGGGTTGTACGAGTTCAATGTGATGCCTTTTGGACTCTGTAATACGCCCGCCACCTTCGAACGCATGATAGACGGCGTATTGCGTGGTTTGAAATGGAAAACATGTCTGTGCTATCTCGATGACATAGTAGTGTTTTCATCCACGTTCTCGCAGCATCTACAACGTCTTGACGAAGTCCTCACATGCCTTGCAAAAGCCGGTCTACAGCTTAACACCAAGAAATGTACCTTTGCTAGCAAGACAATCAAGGTTCTCGGCCACCTTGTCAGCAAAGAAGGAATTCGGCCCGACCCCGAGAAGCTTGCCGCTGTCCTCGATTTTCCTCGTCCACTACGTCAGAAGGACCTGCGCAGCTTTCTTGGGTTATCTTCTTACTTCCGGCGCTTCATACGTGGTTTCGCGGAACTTGCGTCTCCGCTCCATCAACTCCTCGTAAAGAACGTCCCCTTCATTTGGTCCGAAGACTGCGAAAGCGCTTTCACGGCATTGAAGCAAGCCCTCACGTCGGATCCGGTACTGTGCCACTTCGATTCCACCGCACCCACCACCCTTCACACCGACGCAAGTAGTCATGGTCTCGGTGCGGTACTCTTGCAGCGTGACAAAAACTCACGCGAACGCGTCGTTGCCTACGCAAGTCGTGCTCTTACCGCTCCAGAAAAGAACTACACTATCACAGAGCAGGAGTGCCTTGCTGTTGTTAGGGCAGTGCAAAGATTCCGACCATATCTTCACGGCCGTCATTTTACCGTCGTGACCGACCATAACGCCCTATGCTGGCTTTCATCGCTGAAAAACTTATCGGGTCGCCTTGGTCGCTGGGCGCTTCGCTTACAGGAGTATGATTTCAATGTCACCTACAGATCTGGGAAGAAGCATCAAGATGCTGATGCTCTATCGCGCTGTCCTTTGCCCAGCGGAAGCAATTCACCATCGATACTCCAAAACAACAGCACCTCTTTAATCGCAGCGCTAAGTTCATCACCTGCCACCCTATCCGTCCTTGTTTCACAAAAACGTGTCGACCCATACTGCCGCACCATTGTTGACCGCTTGACCGGCTCTACAACTCCTCCAAACGCCAGACTCCGTCGACAACTTAAACAATTTAAGCTTGTCGGTGATGCTTTATGTCGCTACGTTTACCACATCGATGGCAACAAGTGGGTACCCATCATTTCACGTTCTCTGCAACGTGAAGTTCTGGAAGCCTTTCATGATGATCCAACCGCTGCTCATCTAGGCTACCACAAGACTTACGACAAAATACGAAGTCGTTGTTTTTGGCCTGGCCTCTCTTCAGCCGTCGCTAAGTACGTCGCCTCCTGTGTCCATTGCCAACGGCGAAAACGACCGACAACTGCTCCGGCTGGCTTAATGCAACCTCTTCTTTGTCCCGCCTCACCTTTTGAAGTCGTTGGAATCGACTTGTATGGCCCTCTTCCTAATATCATCCAATGGGAATCGCTGGATTGTCACGGCAGTCGACCACCTTACCCGCTACGCAGAAACAGCTTCTATACCATCTGGGACTGCCACTGAGATCGCCGATTTCTTTCTTCGCCACATCTTTTTGCGTCATGGAGCTCCACGCATTCTCCTCAGTGATCTTGGCAAAGTCTTCCTATCTTCCATTGTCGAGCAAGTTTTGCGTGCCTCGAACACTGTTCACAAGACCACTTCTAGCTACCACCCGCAGACCAACGGATTGACTGAACGGTTTCATCGGACCCTATCGAACATGATCGCCATGTACATTCACCCCAACCACACGAACTGGGATACAATTCTACCCTTCGTGACATTCGCCTATAATACGGCTGCTCAACGCACTACCGGCTTTTCTCCATTTTTTCTCGTCCATGGTCGCTCGCCGAGTTTCGCTATGGATGTCTCTTTCCTTTCGGCCCCTGCACCCTCGACGGCTCCTTTCTCTGAAGAATTCCTATCTCGTCTCGCACACTGCCGTCACCAGGCCGGTGTTAACACCGGCCTCTCTCAAGACACTCGAAAATCTCGCTACGACTCGTCTCGCCGTGTTGTGAGTTTTTCCCCTGGTGACGAAGTTCTTCTATGGACTCCACTACGCGTCCCCGGCCTATGCGACAAATTCATCAGTCGCTTCATTGGGCCATACACGGTGGTCGAACAGACATCTCCTGTCAATTACCGCGTTTCTCCTCTTAGCGCTAGTCCTGATCATCGTTGCCGAGGAACAGAGATAGTGCACGTATCTCGTTTAAAGCCTTATGCGCGACGCATTTCATAATACTGTCAAGCGACCAGGCGGCCGCTTTCACCGCGCGGGGGAATTAGTGTGAGCGCGACAAGCGAATGACTCTTTATTCTCTTTGTAATCATCATCACCTGTACATCTTCTTCATCTAAGAATATCATCACCGGCGTGATTGAGCTCGAGCCTGGCCGAATAAACCGGTTCCTCACAAGTAGAGGCGTAGAGGCGACACTGAACGGTGACCTGGCGAAGGCGACATGCGGCGAGACGTACGGGAATTCCCAGGCATGTCCGTATGGTAAGTAGGTGACAGTGAACGGTAATAAGACGATCGGGGGGGTGGCCGTAAGTAGTTCATGGTCGGACGGAAGCTTCGATGTTCTTCGGGAGCGTAGCCGCGTTGCTCGTCTTGTTGGCGCCTTCGACAAAACCGAGCAATATGTCCTCGATAGCCGCAGTAGTAACAGATTGGCCGAGGTGGGCGCTGAGGTGCGTAGTAAGGTGTTGCACGCACTGGCGGTGATAATGAAGCCACAGGCGTATGGTCTGCTGTTGTAGGCACAGAAACGGTGGGTGCGGCAGAGAGCGCGGCAACTTCGGCGTACGTGCGCGTCTGGCGCACGCAGGGACTGTTGGAACACGTCGCACGCGATGCGGAGGCGATCTCTTGTTTAATCAGGTCTCGCAAGCTATCTTTTTCAGGAGGTGAAGTAACTTCGACAGCACAGGAAGAGCAGCGCCCGTGCAGCTCTTCACGAACGATGTCGCGAATAAGCGCACGCAAGTCGAGGGGTGCAGGCAAAGGAACGTCGGTGGCATCGTAGCAAAGGCGAAGAGACTGAAGCTCGTCACGTCGCTGACAGATGGTTATCACGTCCTGGGTGGTGGCAGGATTTTGCGTGGCGAGGGCGTTAAAGGCGACGGTGTTAATGACTTTAATAATGTGGCGTATTTGGTCGTTTTGAGACATGCCGGTGTTAACGCGCTTGCACAGTGCAAGGACATCCTCAATATAAGAGGTGTAAGATTCACCCGGCAGCTGCGTGCGTTGAGCGAGTTTCTTCTTTGCTGCCTCAGTGCGAACTGCAGGGGCACCAAATACCTGACGAATTTGCTGCTCGAAAGTGTCCCAGTCGGGAAGATCCGGGTGGTGGTTCCATAACCAAGTTTTCGCAACATCGGACAAGTAAAATGGGACGCTGCGCAACTTGTGTGGATTGTCCCACCTGTTCAAATCGCTGACGAGGTCGTAATTCTTGATCCAGTCTTCGACATCATCGCCTCGGAGACCGGAAAACACAGGTGGATCACGCAGGCGTGTGTTGTTGGGCGGAGCGGGGGGCGGTGGCTGCAGTAGGACGGCGACGTTGGATGGGCCAGGGTTTTCTTGGGCAGCCATGGCAGGGGGTTGTACGCGACGACCCGAGCGGAGCTCCAGCGAGAACGGGCGAGAGGACTTGAGGGAACGAAAAGCACAGTCCACCACTTGTGAGGAACCGGTTTATTCGGCCAGGCTCGAGCTCAATCACGCCGGTGATGATATTCTTAGATGAAGAAGATGTACAGGTGATGATGATTACAAAGAGAATAAAGAGTCATTCGCTTGTTGCGCTCACAATATCTACACTGCATGAGAACTCTAATCTCGTTAACTTCGCCACGCAAGTTCATTATTAAAAGAGGAAATTAAGAACATAGTTTCGTTCTTCAGCTTCGCTTCGAAATGTTTGCGCGTGACGTCACTGATTTGAAATTTTATAATCTTCGTACTTTGCAGACAATTGTGGCAGGAAACTTTTCTGAAACTTGCTATGTTATGTCCATGTGCCACTCATAGGTCTATGCAGTTCACTTAAGGAGCGAAATGCAAAAGCGATGATGGTCACCTGTTATATGACTAAACAACCAGTAGCATCACGTAACAACTAGTCAAAGGACTGTTATATTGGAAAGAAACAGTGCGAAATATGAAAAGTAGGCATGGACGGACACATACACAGCACTGACTTACAACAAAAGTTTATTTGTCAAGACGATAATTATAGCGCGAGAACAGAACGACGGGCAAAGAGACAAGAAGGATACGAGCGCCAACTTCCAACTGAGTTTATTGCGCAGAACGCGAAAACATATAGAGGAGACAACAAACCATGTGACGAAAACCATGTGGCCCAAAGAGGAATAATTACATGAGTAAGGGCGAAAACAAAAGCACACAAAAAGGCAAAGAAAAGCCTATAAGGAAACAAAACAGAAAAGTAAAAGTAATATAACTACTTGCGCGCACCGAAACCTTCGATGAACGATGACAACAGTTATAGCGCGAGAACAAAACGATGACCCAGAGACAGGAAGGGCGCGAAGAACACTGTCTCTGTGTCGTCGTTTTGTTCTCGCGCTATAGCTATTGTCATGCCATACCAGCTAGCCCAAGCTGCCACACTTCGAGGAACGTTAGTCCCTTCTCGGACAGACAGAGACACGGAGGGCTTGCTAATGCATGACACCTGTTCGCGTGCCATCTGCGCGGCCTCGACGATGACTCGGGTGCGCTCATCTCTGTGCTTGTACAGCGTCACTGTGTCCTTGAAACGGGGCACACAGTTGTACTCAGTGCAGTGCTGAGGAAGAAAACCATATTTCCCGTTTCTAACATTGTTAGCGCGTTCTTTCAGTCGATCGTTCAGACACCTTCCGGTCGTTCCGACAAAACAAGCACCGCAGGAAAGGGAGGTCCTATAGACACCTTCCCGGGAGCATGCCACATACCTGTTTATATGCCGAACTCTACATTCAGTCGATGACGGCATTTTCAGGGGGCTAGTGGATTTGGTGAGCCTGAATATTCTGAATGGTGCAGAGAACAGCACACGAACTTCGACACGTTGTCTGATTTTCTTGAGCCTGTGTGATATATGGTGTTTGTATGGAACAACGGCTATCCTCTCACTCTCTGTATCCGTGTTGCTCAGATCCTATCGCTGCCTCTGCTCTGCCCTATTAGTCCGCAGGATAGTCTCAGCAACAGAAGCAATGAACGCCTCAGGAAAACCCGAAGCCTTACGCTGGGAAACTTGAGCTTTGAAGTTCGCAGAGATGTTGTGAACGCACGACCTATTTAAGGCATTTTCAAGACAGGTTCGTGCTATGCCTCGCCTAACTAACTTGCTGTGAGCGGAAGAAAAAGGAAGTAAATGTTTCTGAGCACGTGGTTCACAACACCAACAAATGTGCTGTGTGCTAAAAAAACAATCTTAAATCCAAAAAGCATAAATTGTCATTCTTGGGCATTTCATGCGTCACCACAAGAGGCATTAAACAATCTTCGAACACGCCTATTGTTTGAACCGCAATCGAGTGGAACATAAAAGGGTTACAATTTAAAAGAACCAAGAAATCATCCACGTATCTGAATACTTTGACAACGTGCGTGCCCTCTAACTTTTTCTGCATTATTGCTCGTTTTTGGCGATAGTAGATCATTGAGTGGAGGTGCTATGCATGAGCCGATTGAAACACCTTTTTTCTGCAGATATATGTAATCATTCCATTGAACGAACGTAGAGGTAAGGTACAGCAAAACAAGGTCAAGAAAATCTCGTGCACTGACGCCAGTTTTAATTGGAAGTTCATTCCCCCGAAGACTTCTGTTATTCCTTTTACATTCTAATAACTCATCGTGAGGCAGTGAGTAGTATAGGTCCTTTATGTCAATTGAAAAACCGAAAGCATTAGTATAATTTGACTGTTTGAAAAATTCTATCAGTACCTGCGAGTTTTTTATCAGAAATGGGTCATCAATCTTTAGACATTTTAGATGGGTCTGAATAAACAAGCCAAGTTGCTTTTCCCACGTTCCACTTTCTGTCACAATGACTCGAAAGGGCATGTCAACTTTATGTGTTTTGGCAGAAAAAACAAACATGCTAAGCCCATTTTTGTCGCTTTTACTAACAAGCTGTGCTAACTGTTTCATCTCTACGACACATTTCCTTGGCTTGCGTTTTTACTCTATCTAGACGAATGTTGGTACAACATTTGAAAACAGATCCAAAAGCTGTGACCGCCTTTTCTAGGACAGGCAATTAGGAAGAACAGCAAAACCACCCTCCTTACATGACGACACGACACAAAGTTGATTGTCTCTCACAAACTCTGCCGTCTTCCGCAACGGAAGGCTGGCGCTAGTAGGCTTACCCCCTAGGAGCACGTCGACGCCTTCTGCGATGCACCTGTCTGAATCCTCTGGTGAGGCGCGGCCAGCAACAGAGTGCACCATTGAAAGAAGCTCGGGTGCGGACCTCTCTCGGTCGACGGCGAACTTCGGACCTAGGGCGAGGGTGTTGTGAACGTAGTCTGGGAGGACGACATCACTGCAAGAGTGAACCACACCCAATTGCCGGTACTTTGTCGGGCACTGCGCACGAAGGCTAGTTAGCTCATGTGACCACAAGCTGTTTGCAGTGTGTTCGATTCGGTCGCAGTACTCTCGCCATCTTCTTTTCTTCACTCCCGGTGGAAGATCTGTTTGTTGAAGCTGGACAAACAAGGCGTTGCGGTACGTGCACTTATGTCGGTGCCTTTCAGACCACAGAATTTCGCACCCCCGTATACAATGGCCGATAGAAGGGTGGCAACCTCCAAACAAGGCTTTAACGTCCAGAGGCAGGTGCTTGGTGCGAATTCAGAAACTAAAGGTGCGCTCACGGCAAATGGAGACTGCGATGAGGGTTATGAGGACTGATTGATGAAGAAAAACACACGAAAAAGAGCCCAAATAACAAGAAATGTAACTCAGAAGTGTGGCAGCTTGGACTAGTTGGTATGACATGACGATAGTTATAGCGCGAGAACAGAACGACGACAAAGAGACTAGAAGGACATGAAGAATGCGAGCGCTAACTTCCAACTCAGTTTATTGCGCAGAGCGCGAAAACATATAGAGGAGACAGTAAATCATGTGACAAAAACCATGTGGCACAAAGATAAATTGATGAGTAAGGGAAAAAAACAAAAGCACAGAAAAAGGCAAAGAAAAGTCTACAAGAAAACGAAACAGAAAAGTAAAGGTAATATAACTACTCGGTGTGCATAAGTAGTTACATTACTTTTACTTTTCTGTTTCGTTTCCTTATAGACTTTTCTTTGCCTTTTTCTGTGCCATTCTGCGTGGCTATCAAGCAAATGTCTAGAAATGTTGCACAGAGCCATGCCTGGTCTCAGAACTAGTTTTTGAATAGACTCTAATGTTTGTTAAACGTGAATCGTGGCTACAGTGCTGGCTATCTAATTTTATAAACGTTACACATTTACTCGTATGATACAGCGGTGACTTTCAATTAACCTCGATCGTAGTATTGCGCTATACACTAGCTGATTCATTTAGTGTTGTCCGGAGCTATACCATACTTACGAGCAGCAGCGCTTTAACTCAGCTTACCGCTCCGAGTGTTGCTAATACCTATGTTGCTGTTGGCACCGTTCAGCAAGTGTAAACAACCCGTTATATAAAATACAAGCGGCTGTTTAACGTGCACCTGTTTGTGCATATGTACATATCTGAAGGCCACTTCGTAATGTTTTGCACAATAAAAACAATTACAACGCAGTCACCTTCCATCTGCATGTTTGGCATAACATGGATTCCCAAGGTATGTACATGGAATATGCCAAATTTTTACCTCAGCTAGTATGCTTTGAAGCCCTCTTGAACTCACATATTTTCTATAGCGAACACGTTTGCGCGCTTTTGTAAACCTATATCGCCGGTAGTATGAAATAAACCCAGAGAAATCACAGACTTCACAGGGATTCCATTCAACATTAAATCCTACATCTCCTATCTCGCTCACACGAAGTATAAATTTTTCTTCTGTTTCCTTGCGAACAGGAAGGCCTTAAGTGTAAGTTTCAGTTCTCTTTCCTTGTAAAGAAGAAACGTGTTCACTCTCTTGGCTCTACGCAGCGCACTCACCCTGCTGATGCGTACATTTCGGAATCGAAGAAAAGCGAATGCCGCCAGGGCTCCGGCCACGTACGATCCAATGTGCGGGTACGGTCGTTGATGGATCAGATCAAGAGCTTGCATCATCTTCCTAAGAGTGCGTCACAAAAAAAGAAAAAGCATAAACAACGCGTGACTCGGTGACTTCATGCAGAAACACCTACAGCTAACAATTTCCGGCACAATTTTATCAAATTGGCCGAGCGCAAATACACCCGAAATTTGTCATTTGTTTATCCATGGCCTTTGCGCTTTCTTTTGTAACCTTCAAAAGGAGAAACCTTCAAAGCAACAAAATACCGAAACTAAGAGAGAATAACCTCCTTAAAATGGTAAACTTCTAGAACTGTTACTTCGGAAATTTTCGCTATATGCGGCCGAGTGCAACGCACTAATCAAACGACCATATATTATTAAGGGAGGTAATTTTTTTTACTGAAAATTAATAAATTATTAAGACCCTTGAATATCAGTTATTGCAAGACAAGTTGTTAAGTCAAGCTTGAACAAAATGTGCTTTCAATTTGAGGAACTTGCTGCAGGCCACATCATGTTGCTTAAACGAAGCACTAAATGTGAATGCAGGCCTGCAGAAGTTAACTGTTGCAACGATGTTTTTGCTTACTTGCTGTTTGTAAACCAGTGATGTGCGCTATGAGTAATTATGCCATTATGTGAAATATAGGTCGTTCTTAATGAAGCTTTGTAAGCGAAACCGGGTATAACAACATATACCATCTCGGCACAATGATTAAGCCTAAGATGCAGTAATCTCCATTCAATAACTGAGATTCTAATCGTTATACAACGACAATTGGGTTACATGTGTTTTCATTGGCTCCATTGTTATTTATTTATTCACCAATGTTCTGAAACAAACAACCACTCAATAGCAGTAGTAACAAATTGGAACGTTCAAGTGGCACTATTGCTTCAGTGAGACAGAGAGAATAAATGACAGAGAAGGAAGGGTAGGGAAGTTAACCCAACTAGAATAACCGGTTTGCTATCCTACACGTGGGAATTGGATGAGGGAGATAGAAAGAAGAAAGAGTGTCGTCAAAAAGGTGCGTCAAGCATGGCACCTCAGTCAATGAGCTTTTTCTGACTTACCCTTTAATTAAAATAGCACTCTCCACTGCTAGCAAAATGTTTTTATTCACTCAGTATTGTAAATAGGCTTCATTGTATAACATTTCATGAGGAAGTACATCGCTAAGTCACACTTTTCCACTAGCGCATGCTTATTGCGGAGAAACCCCCTTGGACAAGCCTTGTTGCTCTCCCAACAGAATAATGTTTTCCACTTGTGGTAGTCTCATTTCACCAGTGATATAGTCACACGAGCTAATGAACTGCTTTCAGATGTGGTGGTATGCCTCGACAAACGAAAATGAACGCAGTCCAAAAGTGGCAGGAAGTTCACCCTAGCGACTCATTTCAGACGTGGTGAACATCACTTGTTCAACTGTCGCGATGATTACTTGTCGATAATTAGTACAATACGAGTGAGAATTGATGCGTGTGTGAATTAACAAGCACAAACGCACGGTGGCTTGTTTGAATAAACATAACGCTGACAAATGCGCGAGGCCAAAAGAAAGCGCTACGCGTGCTATACTTCAATACTTCTTTTAGTAGTTAACTATGAAGCCAGCTATGAGAGACGCTAGCATTAGCGTTCGCATAAATCTTGCATTAAAGTTGCAAACTGAACCAGTTCATCAGTTTTAATCTTCTTGATCATACAGTGCTCGCATAATAGACCGAGGAAAAATAACGTACAGTGCTCGCCCTGCTCCTGTCTTCACCGTCTTTCCTCTGTGTCAGCGTGCCGCGATCAAGAATATGAAACCATGAAACTTGCTCCTTGGTTTCGATCAGAGCAAACTGGGTGAGAAAGTGCGTGGATTTGGGTGATAGATTTACGGATGCACAGGCCTCGTTATCCATTTGCAGGCACTTTCCACAGACCAAGAACTCGAGCTCGCTGCACGTCCCAGGTTCATTATTTTTCCTTGCCATGACATGTCTATGTAGCATGATAATTCAGCGTGGTTCTGAAAGGAACGCCTTCTACACTCTTAATCTTCCCCTGGTTAAATGCTGGCTACATATGACGTAGATCCCCACTCACGAAACGTCGCCACCCGAGCTGACTCGTGAAGGTCCAATCTGCGTCTTGTGCGTGAAGTAGGCAATGAAGGCGTTGCAGCCAACGGACACGAGTACCATGGCAGCGATGCCCAACCATGCGTTCCTAAGCACCAGCGAGAGAAGAACCAAGGCTGTCAAGCACCCAAATTACTGTTCACAAACTATTTAAAAATATAACATTAGCACAGACTAACAACCTTATAAAGAACCATATGTTCTAACGCGTTTCAGCGCAGCGGCATGTTGACGACTGTAAGATTGTCCTGTGATGTCCGAGGATTTATCGTGAACTTGTTTACAGCGCAACACAAGAAACACAGACACAGGCAAGGAGCAAAAAAGGAAGAAAAATAAAAGGCTCCTTCGCTTTTTCTCTGTGTCTGTGTTTCTTGTGTGTGGTGTTGCGCTGTAAAGAAGTTCACTATGAACCCCAACCAACTGGCCCAACTTACCGTCTTACTGCAATTCCAAGGACGCGGGTTCAATTACCAACCGCCGCAGCGCAATCAAGTCAGTGGCAAATTGCAATGACATTCATGTATTATTCATATACATATGCACCATCAATCTTAATTAGTCAAATTTTATTCAAAACCTACCCCCCCCCCCCCCATTGGAGCCTGTCGTATAATTGTGGAGATTTAGGATATTATCAAGTAAGCAAATATGCGCAGGCTAATCATGGTGCTATTCAATCAAGAACTTTCTCGCTCTCTGTTTTTCTACATCCCCACAGCAAATCGTCTCGCTTGTTACGTCACCTTCACTCTTAGCCTGAACGCGTCACTACGCACTGCATTCACCCGCCACGGTGGTCCAGTGGCTAAGGCACTGGACCACCGTGGTCGAATACAAGATCGAGATCGAGAGCGAGATCGAATACAAGCTATGGTGGCTTCATTTTTCGATGGAAGCGAAAATGCCTGAGGCCTTTGTGCTTATATTTAGGTGCACGTTAAAGAACCTCAGAACGTAGAAATTTCTGGAGACCAGCACTACAGCGTGTCTCATATTCAGACGGTGAGTTTGGGGCGTTATACCCCAAAAATTGATGATGTGCACTGCACTGGTATAAATATGCGGTGATTATTGTGGTACCTGTAAATATACCAATGAGCTCGTACTTTTTCATGGTAGCTCTCTGTAGGACTGCCAATATTGTTGTTACTAACCAAACTGTGAAGTAACAAGTCGTGTGACTCGAGAAATAAGCATGCAAATGAGGAACGACCTACCAAGCACTCACATAGAGAGGAGGATGCAGAGGACGGAGACGAGGGTAAATATCTGCATGTCGCAGGCTACGTACCACAGGTGACCGGAGCACTGCGTGAGAATGGCCACGTGAGATGCTGCGGTATTTACTAATTTATTTCTTTTCATTCGCTGCTGAGAGCTTCAAATTAGCTTTGACCATTTCAACAAAGAAAAAATGATAGCCTCAATTGCATATTACGCTATGTAATGCAGCAAGCTTGCATCGTCACGCAACGAAATCAAGCAGTATCGATATAGTAGAAAGATTCTGAAAACTCCAATAATGTCCTTTTTTTTTACTGCCAAAGAGTTGGGTTTCACCAGGAACCTAATGTGGTCATTTCCTGAAGCGATGTCGTTACATATTTCATCATCAATACCAGCATCACCATCAGTCTTTTTATATCCACTACAGGACGAAAGATTTTAGTAAACCTGGATCGCTGGTGCGCAGTTTCTTCTTGCGCTAAAATCGCTAATAGAGAAGGAGGCGAGCTGAACAGATGTAACACGTCGTCGTCATCTATATTTTCCCGTGATTGTCTTTAGCGCATGAAGAAACTACGAATGCCAAAGTGAACATTGATAGCTAGCTGAAAACTCATAATCACGTCAACAATGGAGCAAATATTCCGGAACTCGCTAATGTATCAAAGTATTTTACAACATACATATAGCAAGAATCTAATGGGATGCATTGTTCTGCTAGCATCGTACCTTCGTATTGCAAACAGTTATTGTCACAGTTTCTTGTTACATATGTTGATACCATTGCTTCATATATTTGCCCAGCCCTGCATGCTGTCAATAAACTTTTGTATGTACGAGTCGAACCTGAATTCGGTTCTTCTAAATCACATTTCAAAAAAAAAAGGCGACTCATACGACTGAACCTTGCCTTACACTTTTGTTCTGTACCCTCTCTTCAGTTAATAGATTTCTCGACTCAGGAACACCAACGTTTTTCTGACTCATCTCCACCCTCCATTTTCACCCGCGGCTTTGTGGCCATTCTCCAGTAGTAGAAACGCACCACAGAAGCAAACAAACTTTGTTGCAGCAATAAAACATCCGCATTCTTCGGTGCTCACGTCGGCTTCCATGTGTTCGATTTTAATGGTCCACTGGTGTCCAGCTGGGCTCATAACGCCTATATGCCGCGGAGGTGTGCTGAACCAGAGACAACGTATTTTAATAATATAGCAGCTCTTCATTCCTGCATTCTTACCTTTCCTCAGTCAAATGCTTCAAAGGAATCAGTGTAGCGTCATTCCATCAGCGCTGTCAATGGCATTTGGCGAGTAACCGCAGTTCCCGTAAGCGAAGAATTCGTTGTCGATACAAAGCAAAATACACATCTCTCTGCTGATATGGTATCGTATATGGCATGCTTGGGACGCTCTATACTATATAGACCACTTTATATAGATCACAGTGACACCGAAGGAACCTGGCGGAAACCATCAGCTACTCAAAGCCACGTTGGCCCAGCGTAATGAAGGCCCCCACCACCCACCATGCCTGCAGGTTCCAAGAGGCAACCGAAACTCTGAATCTGATTCAACCGCTATCTGACATGGAACTCTAAACAGCGTCTGCATCTCTCTTGGATCAAGGCCTCCACACCTGAATCAAACTTGTACCGCGTGAAAACCCAGGCTTCCTGCTCTGCAATTACGCAATATGTAAGCCTGCCCGGAAATTTCATTTTGCTAAAAATTGACATTCACAGCCTTCTCGTCTCACACTTCACCGGACAGCGAAGTGCCAACTCAACCACATAACTAGGTATACAGCATCTCAAAACTCAACAGCAAGCACCAAAACCATGACCCAGTGGCTTAATTAAACGACGGTCAGGCTTCGTGGGATCTCTGGACGGCCCATAGTTCCGTTGTAGGGGTTCCTGATGTAGGGAGCTTCGTTGTAGGGGCTCCTGATGGCAAATCACCCCTTCGCTTAGTTAGCTCGATCGCTGCCCAGTAACGAAGGAAATCGCCACTCCTGAGATTATTTGCACCCCCCCCCCCTCCGCTCAAGAGGATCGACCAAGAGTCAGGTTGATCATGTACTCTAAAGATATGAAGTGCTAATAGAGGTTACAGTGTAAACTAGAATGGAGATTTATGTTTAATGAATTCCACTTTTAGCCATGACCCAGTTGCATAACATCTTCATGTTGCATTGACGTTTTCAAGTCCCTTGAGTTGTGGTAATAATAATAACCATACTATCTCGTGTTTTACGTGCTCAAGCCGCGGTATGATTATGAAGTACAGCGTAGGAAAATGGTCAAAAAATATCGACCATCTGGTGTTCCAACTGGTTCAAACTGTCAAATGTTATGTGCTCCTTCGACACCTTTTTTCAATATTTCTGCATGGAAAAAACAGCCATACTTTTGTGGCTAGTGCATTAACATGAACCAACTAGCCCAGAACATCATGCCCATTTTGTGACACCCCAAACCAAGATGTATCTGCCTCACCTTTACAGTGGACCTGCACTGGTTTACAATTAAGTCGTCGCCGTCACCACCGTGCAACAGGTCTCGGGCCTGGCCGACAACCCGACTTTGACCGCTGCCTTCGTGGACCACACCACTGTTCTCTATTAGACTTTATACACGAAGAAAACTTGTATGTGTATTTTTGAAAAATTTATTTTTTTTTCTAGGGGCTGACTTACGAAATGAAAAAAAAAACTAGCTCAGCAACATGTACTTCTAGTGAAGCTCCGCAATGAACGCAAAACTGAAAATAAGGCAAAGACCAGCTTCAGGACTTACTCCCTGGCTTTTCAGAAGTGTAAGTGGAGAGAAAAGAATTGTTAAAATCCAAAATCAGTGACTTTTGGCCGCTATGATCGCGTGAGGAAAGCTAGGAAAGTCTGCAAAAAGGTTTACAATCGAACCGATAACGTTCAATGGCCGGAACATTGCAAATATAGTGAGGAATTAAAGATATCGAGATATTAAAACGTACGAATGGCGAGTATCTTATCAGGTATATTTCTTCTGCTGGTGTCTTGTATCTGCACCTCAGATAGTTTACGTCTCGGAATCTTGTATCTCGCTACAGTTGCATAGTGCATTTGCCCAGCCTTGCTTGAAACAGTGTGGTCCGGAGCATACACACGCCCCCGTTCGGCCATCTTAAAGAAAAATACACCTACTATGCGGACGTGCGTGAGCCAGTTGTTGTAGTGCAAAAGCACGGCTGGCCAACTCTGGTAGCATTTGGCAACCTTGCCCGGCAACCACTGGTCCGCAGCGGGTCCGCGAACCAACAGGGGCAAGAGGAACACCAAGCCCAACAGGAGAGCCGTGGGCACCGTCAACCTGCGAAACCACCCGTAAGAAGTGGATGTGGGCTGGTCATGTCAATATCGCGGAGTGAAAATTACTAAGGCAATGACCACATGTGTTGCCTCACAAGGATCTCATGCAAAGTGACTTAGAACGAGAACAGAGCGTGAGCAGCGGCATCAAATGAAGCAAAACGTAATTATCAACTCAGCGTGCGAGCGCCACGCTCACGTTGTCATTGCTACAATCGCGTGCCGGAAAGATTGGGGACCCTTAGGCCTATGATGACTGAAAGGTCAGTCATCTACTCCTCCGTTTTATTCTATTTCAATGTGTTGACCCTCTGCCGCATCCCTCCAGAAGTCTTCTGCCCCTAGCTTGTTCTACATCATCTTGTGACGTCATAATAAGGTAACGAATTTCAGCTATTTATTGTTTCATTGTGAAGACATACGGTAGCGCCATCATGCTATTATGTTGTTTCTTCATTCGTCTTGGCATCGTGAATGCCGCCGAGGCATCCAAGGCTGTCGCCTTGAATCAAAAAGGGCAGCATTTCTCACAAACGTTGCAAAAGTCCTGTGTCAACTTCATCTCTGGAGGGTGACTAGGAAGCTTTAAAAATCGGCGTTTGCGTGCAATAAAGTGGACAGATAAATTAGCCACACCGAGTGATATTCAACGTCGAGTCGTCTTAGGTGAACGTCTAAATACCGTCATAGTCGTTGGCTGCTAAAGATTTCCCACTCGAAACTACAGTGCACTTGACAAGACAAACATATAGGCTCAGTAAGCGGATGTCAGCCTTCGCATATTTGCGAGAGGTGCCGTCAACCTTAAACAGAGCATTATTTGTGTCTTGTGTTGTTTTTTTTATGCCTAAATCACTTTTTGTATACTCACTCAAGGTCCGAATTGAACTGCATAATAACTACAGAAGCTGATATGCATTAAGGGGCGTAGACACATTTTTTCAGGGAGAGGGGAAGGTTCAACCATAATACATACTGTGTATTCGTGCATACGTTTGTATGAGCGTGTCTATATGAAAGCAAGCAAAATCGACAAATTTGGGCGGTGCCAAACTCGTAACCCCCCCCCCCCCGCTCGCTACGTCCCTGCGCGGGACTACAAGCGCAGACGAACAGCGCATTCACGACAGCGCAGTTGTTATTCGTTGGTTGGTTGAGTTCGTTTTGTGCCATTTCTTCGTAGGTTGACAAACTCACTCCTGGGGTGACGCACTGCACTCAAACTCAGTTCGGTCAGGGAGTCTGAGTGTAAGGGAGTGCGGGCGAGTAACATTTTGGGTTCGAGTGGGTCCTGCTGAGAAAACATTTATTGAGTCTCCCTTCGAGTGAGTCTGGATGAGTAAAATGTTGCCGATACCGAGTCTGAGTGAGCCCTAAGCGTCAGACATGTCTCTCGAGTGACTGTGAGACAGGCTTTATTTTTTCCCGAACTATACGATTCTTCAAACTTTTATAGGTCATGTACGGGTAGGCGTGCTCTGCGCTCATTTTCTTTTTTCACTTTCTCTCTCTCGTCTTCCTGTTTTCCTTTCCCATTTCTCAGTGAAATTTTGCCAACCATATTATTATTTCTTTAATTATCATTATTTTTTGTGAATATACATACCTTCTGTCTTTCAGCTTCCAAGTTTTCTCAATATATATGCACAGATCTTCTCTGGACTGAATCGAAAAGCACAAGCAAAATGACGATATACTTGACATATTGTGCCAGAGAAATTTGACCAAGTGCCTACGCTACCTTATTTTTTATTGAACACAATAGAGCCGAAATAAATAAATAAATAAATAAATAAATAAATAATGCCTACGCACCTGATGTACCGCCTAATTTCAGCCGTTAGGAAAACCATTGTTCTTGAACGAGCGTCCTTGAGCTTGGGATACATTTGGTGCACTAGAAGAAATCCACTGGAAAGAAAACGAAGAAAAAGAGCAAGAACAGAAGATATTGGTGCTTGAGCAAGAACAACCATGCCGGCATCCGCAAACACGTACGATTGTTGTCAATGCATGCTTTTGAAAGAATGCTCGCGTGAAATGCAAAATTCGATTAACACTCTTTGTTGAGTACATATCCAGATAGATAGAACGTGGTTTAGTAAAAAAGCCGAGTTTTAGGCACCATAAATAATACTTGTAGAGTAGGAATAGGTCATTTTCGAGAGTAACCTAGGAAGACAGGGCCAGAATAAACAAACGAAAAGTGCTGGCTTCATCCTGGATTGTTTTCCCGTAAACTCATTGAAGCATGTAGCGTCCATTCAACTTCAGCCGCTAAGCCGCAAATATTATTGACGTGGATGAGGACTAAGCGAATACGACGCACTTGTTTGTCTTTTTCTTTCGCGTCCCATTGGTGTGCGCTGCGAAATATTTGGTATGAATCTATACCAACTAGCCCGCTTTTCAACCCTTCTGGAAGTTATCAAGGCTGACTTTGGAAAGTTCCCCTGTTGAGCAACAAATTTAACAAGAGAAACTATGACGAAAACTGTGACATGAATTCGACGTTATCAAAGTCGTTGTCTCTCAGCAGCAGTAAAACTCAAATGTGACCTTCCTTTTGTCGCCGTAACATCAGAGTCAATAGATGTGGTGAGTTGTGAACAAAAATTTGCCTAGGCATAGGAACTTTAGTGTTTACTTTTTTTTTATGTACTCAGCACTTTAAGGGCCCTGGCTGTTGTATGCTTTTGTATGCTGTCGTCGTCACTTGGGGCAGGCAAAACCCCGTATATAAAAAAAAGAAATGCAAAGCAAGCAAGAAATAGAAAGAGAAAAACAAGAACAACGATAGAAAAAGTTGAAATAAAAAGGTAAAAGGAAGGGAAAACTGAAAGAAAGAAACGCTAATAAAATATCTTGGATTTATGTCCCAAAACACGATAGTATTATGAGAAACGCCGCAGTAGAAGGTTCCGGGAATTTCGACCATCTGGTGTTCCTTAACGTGCACTAAGATCGCACAGCACATGGACCTCTGTACCGTTTCGGCTCCATCTAAATTGCGACCGTTGCTGCTGGTATCGAGCCCGAAACATGCGGTTCAGCAGCCGAGCACCTTAACCATATTTCCACAGCTGCAGACAAAATAGAGCGACAAGGAAAGTATAAGAAAATGAAAGAGAAACTAGGAAGGCTGTGCCGAGGTCTGCGCTTGCTTCAGGCTTGCCCCCCAAAATTAGTTTTTTTATTTATATATGAAAAAAATATTGGAACGCAGGCTACGTCAGACCCGGCTATCTCAACATCACGGTAGTAATGTTCAACATACATACACAAGTAGAAATGTTTTTTTTTCTTAGATCTCACCTGAGAACGAAAAATGTTTCGACACTGGGATAGGCGTTCGCGATGATGCAAAACAAGAATTCGTTCGTCATCTCGAAGATTCCAAGTCCTCTTCCTAGAGTGAGTGAGTAAAAACTTCATTGACAATGCCCTCTTCCAAAAGTAAGAAATAAGATATGTGCATAGCAACATGAAAGGCAGCATTTACGCAATGCACAACAGCATACATATACCATCTACTTGCACCTAAAGGCAATGCCATTCGGGGCATGTAGAAAACAGCAAAAACAAAAGTGAGAGACGGGCGAGAGAGAGCAAGCAGTCGGGCAGGAATGTGCAGTATCATTCTAAGATGCATCGGTATGTCCTTGTATATAATCTTACATAAATTATTCTATTATTATTATTATTATTATTATTATTATTATTATCATTACTATTATTATTATTATTATTATTATTATTATTATTATTATTATTATTATTATTATTATTATTATTATTATTATTATTATTATTATTATTATTATTATTATTATTATTTATTATTATCAAGATCATCAGCAAAGCTCTGTAGAACGCACACAAGCATTGAGCATTGTGTCCTACCTCCTCGAGTACAACACACAGAGAACAAGCACATGAGTGCGACAACTTAAATCCAACTAAACTTCATCTCCCACATAAATTCTTGTTGATATTGAGAAACCCTTCTGAAAGGTGTGATGAATACCAAAAAGCAATTTTTGTGCTTATCACAGGAAATACACACGCGCACGAACGCAAGCACACACACAATGAGCGTGAATTTCATACCATCATCTGTAGCTGTCATGTGTTTTTCACAAAATTAAATTCTAGTTCTGGTAGATCAAGCTGGTATATGTTAGCATATTCACCTTCCGACATTCGTAAACTCTTCACTTCATACAAATTATGTTTCGGTCTTCGTTCCTGTTTTGGCTCTTTCAATATTTTTTTCATCTCACTCACCGATGCCCTCACTGTACTTAATTATTGATTTCTTAGCGAACTTCGGTGACTTTGAGCGTATCAATCTATCTAGCTGCCTACGACTTTTAGCTCTCCTGGCCATTTCGATAATGGTATGGATACGAAGCTTGGTATGGCATAACATGACTGAACAACATATCTGACTAGTCATAACATGGAAATCATGATATTGTCGCGACGTCAAGAGAGAGGTCATACTCGAAGACGCTGAGAAAACAGCAGCGGGTCGGTCTTTTTGTTAACCGCGTGAGAGAGAGTTTCTCATCTTTCTCGTTGTTGCGTTCTGCATAAAAGCGTGCAGATGCGCGTATGCGCTGTCGCCTTCGTCTTTTTCGCGGGACGCATGTGACATTTGCCTCCCTCCAAAAATGGCATCGTCCCGATGCGCAGCCAAGGCACTCTACTTATAAAAACGCACATATGCACCGGCACGCACAGGACAAACGAGAGTTAGCTGGACAAGTAGGGTTTCATCCGGATGACATGCACGATTTCGGGTGAGCAGTTTCGGTGAGTGGAACTGCAATCGCCGTCGGAAATAACTTCGTAGTTGATGTCGTTCAATCGTCGGGTGACTCGATATGGGCCAAAGTATCGTCGTAATAACTTTTCTGAAAGTCCGCGTCGACGTATTGGGATCCAGACCCATACCTTGTCGCCTGGTTTGTAGGTTACCAATTTATGTCGTAGGTCGTACCGTTTCGCATCTTTGTGTTGCTGGTGACAAATACGCACGCGGGCTAGCTGTCGGGCTTCTTCGGCACGCTGACCAAATTCTTCGGCGTCAGCGTGAGTGTCGTCACACTCGTGCGGCAGCATAGCGTCCAACGTTGTAGTGACTTCGCGCCCGTGTATTAAACTAAACGGCGTCATTCCGGTAGTTTCCTGCCGGGCAGTATTATAGGCGAAGGTTACATAAGGCAAGATTTCGTCCCAGTTCTTGTGTTCTGTGTCGACATACATGCAGAGCATGTCTGCGAGGGTCTTATTAAGCCGCTCTGTTAGTCCGTTCGTTTGTGGGTGGTACGCCGTTGTTCTCCGGTGAGCTGTACCACTGAGCCTGAGAACCGACTCCAAAAGTTCTGCCCCGAACGCAGTTCCTCTATCCGTGATGAGAACTGTTGGAGCACCATGCCGAAGGACGACGTTTTCTATGAAGAAATGAGCCGCTTCTGCTGCTGTGGCCCTCGGCATGGCTTTAGTTTCTGCGTAGCGAGACAAGTAATCAGTGGCGACAATGATCCATCTGTTCCCTGTGGTAGAAGTTGGGAATGGGCCCAGGAAATCCATTCCGATTTGGGCGAATGGCTTTGCTGGCACTTGAACGGAATGTAATAAGCCTGCCGGCCTGCCGGGTGGTGCTTTGCGTCTTTGACAGTCGGCACATGTTTGGACGTGATGTTTCACAGCAACAGGTAGGTTAGGCCAGTAGTAACTGTTTTGCAGACGGGACTATGTTCGAGTGTAACCGAGATGACCAGAGGTGACTTCATCATGGCAGGCTTCCAGAATTTCTTTTCGCAGTGATGCAGGGACGACGAGCAAGTATGGGCTGCCGGTGGGAGAAAAGTTTTTCTTGTATAGGACGTCGTTCCTTAAACAAAAAGATGGCACTCCTCTCGCAAAAATTCGCGGCACGTCTTCCCGTCGTCCTTCTAAGAAATCGATAAGCGAAAGCAGGTCAGGGTCACGGCGCTGCTCTTGTGAGATAGTGGCCGCGTTGATGACTCCCAAGAATGCGGCGTCCATAGACTCGTCATTGATAGCGGCAGGCTCAACGGGTGACCGCGAGAAACAGTCTGCGTCGGTGTGCTTCTTCCCTGATTTATAAATAATGGTCATATCAAACTCCTGAAGGCGAAGGCTCCAGCGTGCTAAACGGCCGGATGGGTCTTTCAAGTTAGTGAGCCAGCAAAGCGAGTGGTGATCACTGACGACCTTGAATGAGCGGCCGTACAGATACGGTCGAAATTTGAGAACCGCCCAAACCACGGCGAGGCACTCTTTCTCGGTAGTCGAGTAGTTCTCTTCCGTGCGAGAGAGAGCTCTGCTGGCATAGGCTATCACTTTCTCGGAGTTATCGTGCCATCGTATCAGTACGGCGCCCAGGCCTACATTGCTTGCGTCGGTGTGAAGTGCTGTTGGTGCTTCCTGGTCAAAGCGCGCCAGAACCGGAGGTGTTTGGAGGCGTTGGCGTAATTCGTTGAACGCTGTTTGTTCCTTTTCGCTCCAAAGAAAGGGGACATCCTCTCGTGTGAGCCGCGTCAGAGGCGCCGCAATAGACGAAAAGTTGGCGATGAATCGTCGGTAATAAGCGCAGAGGCCTAAGAAGCGTCTCACTGCTCTTTTGTCATGCGGTGCGGGAAACTTTGCGACAGCGTCGATTTTGCCCGGGTCAGGTCGAACACCTTCGTGGCTGACCACGTGGCCTAAGAAGCAAAGTTCGTTGAAACCGAAATGGCCCTTCTCTGGCTTTAAAGTCAGGCCAGCCGAACGTATAGCTTCTAGAACAGCGAATAATCGACTTAGGTGTTCCTCGAATGTAGCTGAGAAGACGACAACGTCGTCTAGATAAACCAAGCATGTCTGCCACTTAAGTCCTGATAGCACAGTGTCCATTAAACGCTGAAAAGTGGCTGGCGCTGAGCATAACCCGAATGGAAGCACTTTAAATTCATAAAGACCGTCGGGCGTCACGAAAGCAGTTTTCTCACGGTCTCTCTCGTCGACCTCTATTTGCCAATAGCCACTTCGCAGGTCCATCGATGAGAAATAGCGTGCATGCCGCAGCCGATCAAGAGAGTCATCTATACGTGGCAGTGGGTAGACGTCTTTCTTCGTTACTTGGTTTAACTTGCGGTAATCTATACAGAAACGCAAGCTGCCGTTTTTCTTTTTAACCAATACCACGGGGGATGCCCAGGGACTCTTGGAAGGCTGTATTACGTCATCTTGGAGCATCTTCTGAACTTGCTTTTGGATCTCCTCACGTTCTTTCGGAGCCACATGGTATGGGTTTTGACGGATCGGTCTCGTATTTTCTTCAATGATGATTCGGTGCCGGGTCAGTGGTGTTTGCTTGACTTTCGACGTGCACGAAAAACAATTTTTGAACTGGTGTATAAGCTCTAGTAGGCGCTGTTTTTCCGAGACTGACAGGGTTGAGCAAATGTTGACAGACAAAGGTGTCGAGGCTGGGATGGTCGCCTCGTCCGGTTGAAAAGCGAAGCAATCTCTGGCTTGGTCCACGTCGTCGTAGTAGGCGATCGCGGTGCCCTTCTGGATGTGACGACGCTCGTTGCTGAAGTTGATAATGAGGACTTCTGCCCGCCCATCAATTAGTGCCAGAATGCCTCTCGCTATTGAAACACCTTGCGTAAGCAATAGCGTGTCTATTCGCTCCGCTATCACCTCATTACGGCACGGCCGTTCACACAACACCGACACAAGGCAGCAAGATCTCGGCAGGAGCATCACATCATCGGCTACACGTAAACGTTGCAGTTGTTCTTCAGAGGTGGCGTCGACGTAAGGATGGGCGGAAAAGGTGACGATACGTTCTGGGATGTTGATGACAGCACCGTACTCTCGCAGAAAATCCATACCCAAAATCAACTCTTTACAACAGTCCGGTAAAATGACAAAAGTGGCGACGAAGTTCGAATCATCGATTACGAGCCGAGCGGTGCATTTACCGGTTGGCGTCATTAGCTGCCCACCAGCACTCCTTATGCTCGGCCCACTCCACGGCGTCTTAACCTTCTTAAGGCGGTCGGCGAGCTCTTGTCGCATAATAGAGAAGTCAGCACCAGTGTCAACCAGTGCTGTTACGTGGCGTCCGTCTATAATAACGCTGAGGTCCGCACGTACAAATTCATTGGCAGTAGTACTCGTGGTTGTTGTCGTCTTCGTCATCACCGTCGTCACGTCGTCTTTGTGTAGAGGCAAGGGGGTCTTTTTGGTGTCTCGGCAATTGGCAACCTTGCCCCCGGAGGTCGCGGCAGTTAGTTTCCCTGGCACGGGCTTGGGGAGCGGTTTCTGACGGCGTCCGCGTATCTTTGGCGATTCGGAGAATTCTGACCTCGTGCAGGTGAGGGAGACCGCCAGCGACGACTTGGTGAAGACGCTTGGTTGGTCGGTAGGTGATCAGCACCATGGTCACGAGGGTCTTCAGAATAAAAAGAAGCGGGCCGAGAAAAGTTTCCAAACCGGGTTTCTCGATGACGGCAGTAGCGCGAGATGTGGCCTGGTTCGCCGCAGTGGAAACAAAGGGGTCGACGGTCGGCGGTGCGCCACAAGTCGGTCCGACGTACTGGTGGTCGCCGCACAGGTTCACGCTGCCACCACGGCAAGGTAACGGGCCGTGGCTGAAAGGGTGGTTCTTCTGGGGCAGGCGGATGACGGCGGACGGCATCACCATAGGTCAGTGGACGTGGTTCGGGTGGTGGCGCCGGTGAGGGAAAGGCTTGCCGTAGTTCCTGGCGCACGATTTCTGCAACAGAAGCAACTGGAGGATCGGTAGACGGAAGGCCGAGGGCCCGCAGCTCTTCCCGCAGGATTTGTCGAATCATTTGCCGTAAAGAATTTTCAGAAACGGCGGCGTTTTGAGCGGCGGCACCAACAGGCGTTTGGTCGGGCAGGCGGTCAAAGTGACGGCATCGTTGCCGGAGCGCCCGCTCAATGACAGTCGCCTCTTTGATGAATTCATCCACTGTTGTTGGCGGATTTCGTACAAGGCCGGCGAAAAGCGGTTCCTTAACTCCCCGCATCAGATGACGAACTTTCCTTGCCTCGGGCATGTCAGGGTCAGCGCGGCGAAATAGGCGGGCCATATCCTCCGCGAACATGGCCACGCTTTCGTTCGGCTTTTGCATGCGGGCTTCGATCATCTGCTGTGCGAGATCCCGTCGGTCCGCACTCAGGAACGTCTCGAGAAGCTTTTGGCGGAAATTGTCCCAGGTTTGGAAAGTAGGCTCCCTGTTCTCGTACCATGTGCGAGCGCTATTCTCCATTGCAAAGTAGGCACGGCCAAGTTTTTCTTGCACGCTCCAACGATTCACCACAGCGGTCCGCTCGAACTGGTCGAGCCAGTCCTCGACATCTTCATACGGTTCTCCACGGAAGAGTTCGGGAACACGAGGAGTCTCAAAAGTTACCTGGTAAGGGTGAGTCGTCTGGGCCGGGGGAAGATTCGCAGACGCTGAAGGGGCCGCCATGTTGGTAACAGGAGATGCCGTCAAGAGTTCTGGGCTTAGGCCTAATAGGCGCCGGCTGAATCGGTGTACTGGAGTCGCAACAAGACGTTGAGGCTCCGGACTGGGTGTACGGTCCCGAACAACGCTTTCTTGCATCAGGTTGCAGGTCCCAGCACCTCCACCAGTGTCGCGACGTCAAGAGAGAGGTCGTACTCGAAGACGCTGAGAAAACAGCAGCGGGTCGGTCTTTTTGTTAACCGCGTGAGAGAGAGTTCCTCATCTTTCTCGTTGTTGCGTTCTGCATAAAAGCGTGCAGATGCGCGTATGCGCTGTCGCCTTCGTCTTTTTCGCGGGACGCATGTGACAATATGTATATCATGAATGTCATGAATTACATTTCATGGTCCTGCCGCTCTTGCGGTGGTTTCGTTCACATGGCATATTGCAAAACTGGTATGGTATGGCATGATTGCATAGCGAACACAAGCGACAGACCCTAACATGAAAATCATGACATGCGTGTCATGTAAAAACATGACTACATGCCACGCTCATGATGCGCTGGCGGCTGTTTTGCTAGCTTCGCTAATACCACATTTGGTATTACGTGACGGGAATGGATGACGAAGGTATGATACTGGTGCAAACATGATAAACATAAGATGCATTTCATGTAACAACATGACTACAGGCTGTGGTCATGATGCGCTCGCGGCTGTTTCGCTAGCTTCAGATGTACCAAACTTGGTATTACGCGACGCGAACGGACGACATAGGTAAATGACGCATTCAAATATGATAATCACGACATAACTACATGCCACACTGATGATGCACTCGCGGTCATTTCACTAGCTTCACATATGCCGAATTTTTTATTACGTGACGCCAATGGACGACGAAGGTATGTTACTGGATAATCATGAGATGCGTGTCATGTGAGAACATGACTACATGCCAGAATTAATGCGCCAATACATTTCGAAATGAAACGGACGCACGTAGTCGCCGGCGTTGCCACGCCAAGCGCCGGTGACATATTAGCATTTCTCACTCGTGCTTCGCATATCATCGATTACCAGTGTACGTGGGATCTGCCAATTTTTATTTTTTATTTTTTGTCAAAACGATTGATAGGAGAGGCTGGTGCCTTGATGGCGGGTGCACCAGCTACTTTTTCTTGCTTGGCAATGCTAAAACATTAGGTGAACACCAAAATATGTCATACAGTAGAAGACATTCTGTACACGCTCAGTGAAATTTAAAAGCACACGATTCTCGAGTACTGTAGCACGATTTGTTTTATGTGTTATCTCCAGTTCTTGGTCTCTCTCGCAGTCGTCCATTGTAGGCTTGCAAGTGGACTTACCGAGAATGTGTGGGTCCAGAATGTTGTAGCTGTGTCCCAGTATGACCCACAAGGCCGTGAAGAAGCGCATTCCGTTCAGGCACTTTAGACACTCGTGCTCGGGTGGAGTCTTCTTGAGCAGCGATTCCGTGTTTCTTACGGCAGAGAAGGCCTTCCATGCTGCCACCCATTTTCCTGCAAGAAGCCAGAGGAATTGACAGAAAGAGGAGAAATCAACTAAAGAGTCAAATGAGACTTCTGCACTCGTCGGTTTGTAGCAGCTTCTAGCTCGCCTGGGTACATTAGACAAAAAAAAAGATCTTGTTGACTCTTTTGTCTTAGTCCTGTCTTATCACGTGTAAGACCTCTTTGAAGAAACATGTAAAGTCTCTCAGAAGATCATTATACCCACGTCGGAGAGTCTTCCGACGCTGGAAAAAGCTAATGTGCCTCGTTAAGGATAGTCGTATACGTGCCGAGCCAGGACACACCAAAAACGAGCAAAGTGTACTCCCTTTTTTTATTGTTTAGAGCAAAGCGCTTGAGGTAGAAGTTAGCTGTATGCTGTAGATAGAAAAATATCATTATCAACCAGCACGCTCCATCTTCGTCTTTTTCTTCGCCCTCTTCTGCTTCGTCACCACGAGAAATGCGCCAATTTGTCCAGCGAGTGATGCATTAACTTCACGGGTGAGGCAACAAGCAAACATGGAGAGAAAGAGGAACAGAGATAGAAGTAGAATCAAAGAGGTAGAAAGTTCTTGGTGAAAATGTCTCCTTGCCGCAGCGAGATTAGGACCCGCATAGCCCCGATCTATGTAAGCGAGCGTCCGAACCACTCGGCTGTATCCAGACGGCTGTCGGAGCAGAGAACTAATCGTGGGTGCCTCGATCATCGTGCATTAGTTCACTTTAAAGAACACTGCGAAAGAACAGTGTTTGATTTAAAAAGCGCGTTTGTAAACCAGTTGACGCAATGATTAGCATACCCGGCAGTGGTTGTTGCAGCCCCAAAGGTCATGACATTGACTCTCGCCGACGACACTTTTTTTTCCTTCTGATTGCGTATTTGTCGACGTTATTTTCGCGACGGAAATACGTCACTGCATTCTTGGTAGACGCCGACATAAAACCTTTTCATGTTAAAAAAAAAAGCAACCACAACCATGCCTTTGGTAAAGCAATGAATAGGAAAGAGAGAGGTGCATACATCCAGATGTGATTCATGCGATAGTTAGGAAACAGTAGAACGTCTGTTGTTTTCCTAGCTGTTATTGTTTTGTGAGCGAACGCAGTGTTCTACGTAGTACGTCGAACAAACTGGATGATATATCTGTTTTCGTCGCAAGTTGGAAAGCAACGCGACCATTGCTGCGTTTTTAAAGGTCGACTGGCTTAAGAGACCATACTTGTAGGCATGCAATGGACGGGCGCACATGTTCCCTGACTGTGCTATGTTACGTCTTCTCTTTTTTTTTCTTTTAGTCCCTTCGTTCCTTCCTCTCAGTGCAGGGTAGCAAACCAGACGCGTGTCTGGTTGACGTCCCGGCCTTTCCTTTATCCTCAGTCTCCTCTTCTTAGAATTCATGAATAGCAAGAAATTGCATATATATTCAATGTTATGGCAGACCAGGTAAAAAAAACTGCACCATCCCCCATTACAGGGAACCATGAGTACAGCATGCGAAGCAGCGCATAGACTTAAAGTTCTGTTCGTCACGGTCACCTTGCCCAATGTTAACGCCTCTTTGCAAATGAGGCACACCATGAATTCACTGCGGTTTCTGTTGCTCTTACTTTTCCCGTACTCAGGCAACCCAAAATCACATTATTTGAGAATGCAAGGCAAACACACCACCAAAGGAAATACTGCCAGCTTCCCTTGAGGCGTCATGGGAGTCACTACTGTCGTCCACTGCCCACCACGTTCAGGCTGAAGCGGTTAACTGGGCCGAAATGGTCGTAGCAAGCTACTGGCCACCACCCTCCGCACCACCAGCACGCTGAATTGAACTACATCGCTGTGCCTTTTATTTAAGCTGTTGCTCTCTCTTGTCGGAGCATGCCACGCAGGTTCATCGCCACGCGACGCGGAACAACATGGGTTCATCTGAAGGATCTCGTTCCCTGACGCCATCACATGATTGCTGAAAGAGTGTAAGGGGCAGAAGCCACAGCGTCTTACACTTTACACAGGCTGAAACGCGTTCTGGAAGTGCTTCCTGTTGCGCGCGCACAGTAAGGGTAATTACGCACACCGGATTGAGCTTCGCCATAAGCTGCTTCGCATTTAAAGAGAAAAAAAAGCTGAATCAGCTTCAGGTTGACCTGGCCACCACGCATATACGGAAAATATTATATTATTTCAAATCGATAACAACCTAACAATGTTGTAACGGCCAATATACCACCTGGCGCGGTACACAGTATACTTGTCGTCAGTAGATTGTATATTCTGCTGCTTTTGCTGATGTAATATTCTAAAGTAACATCAGAGTCACTCATTTTTGCTCAGTAGTCATGACTCATGACGAACCGACTGGTACGTCAGCCTCACCTGAGTCTTTGTCCTTGTGCAGTAGAGTAGTCTCCTTCTTCTTAAGCCTTTCTAGCACGTCAACTATCGTTCCTAGAAGAACGCAGATTGTCAGCGTGGAGTATATGACACTGAAAAGGATATCGCAAGACATAATTAATTTATTAATTTATTTGTATTATTTATTTATTGATTGATTATTACCTTTTTAAATAAATTTATAGCACCTTGTGTAAAATTTTATCTACACGAGGTGCCTATAGTAGCTCAAGAAGAATCGAATGTTGGGTCACTTTGTGAAAGTCCTTGAACATATTCGAAAAATAGTGTAAAAATCGATATGAACATAAGCGCTGTCGCGCGTTCCTTCTTCTTGTTTTAGAAAGTAATCAAAATAGTGGCTCTACTGCTCTCCCATTGAAGCGCTCTATGCTAAAGGAAATGAAGTGAGCATAACTACACCAACCAATTGAAGAAAGCGTTTAAGCATACTTCCCCACCTCGAACAATGGATGCGGCATTCAAAGTGAAGTTTACGGATGCTTACATGAAGGCGACTTGTGTGCCATTCAACTCGTTGCTCTCGTCGGTTCGACAACTGGTCAACGCAGAGGTCAGGCTGATAAGCTGGGCTACTGCAAAAGAAAAGAGCGGCAGGAAGATTTATATATGTTTAGCTCGTTTCGTTATTACAAAAGCCAAGGAAATTCACACTGTCCTACAAACAGCGGTATACTCTTGCACAAGTGCTAAAGGTGTGACAGCCACAGAATAAGGAACTTCCGCGATGATGGTTTATCGAGGAATTCACAGCGTCCTCACTACAGTAGACACGGCCGCACTGTGACAGCAAGTCACGCATTATGAGATCGAAACTTCGGGAAGTTGGCATGGTATCTTATCAAGCATGCAAATCATTGGGAAATCATGAAAAATCATTGGTCCGGTGGATGATTAGCCTAGGTTTCTTTATGACTAATTTTCACCCACATTTACTAATTTTCGCTGTTTTATTATACTGGGTGCGAACCAGCGAGCCAAATAGAGTATGTGTGAACTGAAGTAAAGTAGTCAATTCAGCTAGTGGGAACATACTCATCACGATCAGCGCACAAAAAAAAAACAAAGAGAACACAAGAAAGTGCATGACCCAAGTACTGGCTAACAACCGAAGGTTTAATCAAAACAACGTGTCATATATAGGCACACAGAGATGCATAAATAAACCTTGACATCCCCAACCAAGCACGTAATTAAGTATGCTGTAGGTACGAAATCTCAGCATTTGTGAGAACGATTGAAGGTTGGCTCACACACCTGTTTCTTGCTTTTTATAATTTCATACGCTTCAGCGATTCAAGCGTGTGCTGGCCTCTACGCCTCATCAACACAGTGGTTTTGGTGAAGTCAGCTGCGCAGCCACACCACCGGCAACGGAGGACAAGATGCGTAAATGGTCGACCTTTCAGAGAGCAAGCATACTCCTGCAGCCGGACGTTGAGGCAACGACCCGTCTTTCCATTGTACGAGCCCCCGCAAGACGAAGGGGTGGAGTACACCACTCCGCTGACACAGACATTGAAACGCTTAGAATGCTTTATAGAGCAACCTTCAGGGCTGTCAGAGACGTGCCCCGTCTGCACTCTTTTGTCAACTCTGCACACACGCTTCCTATATAGCTTCTTGCCAGCACGAAAGACAACATTTATGTCATAATGACTGACCACCTTCTTCCAACGGTGCGACACAGAGTGCAGGTATGGGATAACTACGAACTTTTTTTGCCGATATGAAGCCACATTCGCAGCACCAAGGCGCTCTTTTTGTTCCCTTCGAAAGCGATGGAACAGTCGCTGTGAAGGGGAGGCAAGGACCAGGTGTGGGAAACCCGCCGCTTCTAACCTGACAACCTGCCGTAAAAACTCACCTACAGCGTGAGGACAGAATTTTTTAGAGCCGAATCAAGACCATACGTGACCAATTTATTATTTACAAATTTTGAAAGAGCGAAGCGATAGCTTAAAAGCGGTTTCCTGGAATAGGGAGGGGGGAGAATAAGACTAGCAAACATATGGTTCCTCTGGAACTGTAATGAAAGCTCTAAAATAGCAAACATTGTGTCTTGGCACTTCAGAAGTAAACCACAGCTCGTTGCCTCTGTGCTAGAACATACTTACAACCTGGTTTATAGACACCATAAAAAGTTGACGCGATCAACAAACACCAAGTAATCGTAGACATATCTAAAAACATGCCTTGCAATATACTCGAAATCTTGCTGATGGGTTCACTACACTTTTTCAAGAAATATATTGCTTAATACTGGGGCTGTCCTTGACCCGATACAGGTAACCGATTTATGTACGTACAGCATGGACAAATGAAACAACTCTAGAACATAAGTAAACCAAATTAGTTCTAGGGAGCTTTCCACTGGAATGCCAACATTATTTCTAAACATCACTTCATCATTGTCCTCGACAATAGTTTCTTTCACACAGATCACGAGGCAACTATGTGGCAAAGAATAAAACAAGTCTTGTATATCTACACTAAATGCAGTACAACTTGAAGGGTTATGCTTAGCCAACACTGTTACCACCTCAACTGAGTTGCGAATAAGGAAAGGAACAACCAAATGCAACGCCTCTAAATTTCCCTGTAAAAAAACAGACACAACGTGTTGCCATGAGTTCTACTCGGTAACAATTTCCTGGAAAAGGTCATCAGCCTTATGGGTTCTGGCAGTGAAAATAATCTGCAGCTCAAGGCCTTTAGCAGCTTTAGCACCAGAACACAAGTGCTCAAAATTTAAATGCTCAAAAAGTGCCAAGGCACACTTCTTTATCTTAGAGACCTTTTCTGATACCAGCTTAAAGTTCTTTTTTACGGAATCAGTGGCTTTCTCATTAAACAACTGCGGCATGGCAACAAACACCCTTCCTTGTCAGATACAAAAACCCGAAGGCACTTATCTACGAACCAGTTCACAAGTCCCCACAAATTCTGCCCGTGTCCTGGTTTCTCTACCACTTAACAGATATACCTAGTACCGACTCCTAGATGCAATGCACGTTTTCCGCTTCGGGAGCCTGACGTAAAAACTCGCGTGCAAGGGCCACCTTTGCAACTGAAGAAAGATGTGGTTCAAAACAGAATTTCGGACCTAATCGAAGAATACGTTCGAAATGTTGCAGTACCCGAGTGTCCCCTAGAAGAATGACACGTCCTTTACTTGTAGGTGGCTTGGGTTTCGAAGGCAGCGTCGCTAGCACGGCTTTCCAAAGAAACCCGGTGAGATTATTTGGGGTCCTAGACCATTCGAAAAATAGACAACGTTGTCCATGTTTACGTCACCGATAACACAACAGCAAACACGAATGCACCCACAAAAGTGGCGGCTTTGTCGCAACCACTCAGACTGCAGCAAGCGGCACATCCTCCTTGCATGCCTGAGCAATGGCTGACGCCACTCACAGATAAATAGCTTGTATGTCTCGTGGGCACAGCGAATGATTTGCGTGCCAGGAAGCAACACGCGCCCGTCATTCCCACACCGCAACAAGTTATGGCAATACCGCTTAGTTAGAGAAGTCCAGGTTAACACACTGAAAATAGCCCGTTGAGCTAGTGATTAACTGAAGTAGCAAATTGGGCTAGTTGGAACATACTCATCACACTCAGCTCACTAAAAACGCACAAAAAACACAAGAAAGTGCGCGACACAAGCGCTGTCTGACAACTGAAAGTTTAATCGAAAAAAAAACGTGTCATATATGTGCAAACATGAAGGCATAATAAAACCTTGACACCTCCAACCAAGCAAGTATGCTCGAGATACAAAATATCAGCATCTGTGAGAGTGATTGAAGGCTGGCTCACGCACCTGTCTCTTGCTTTTATAATTTCATACGCTTCAGCAATTTCACGCGTGCGTTGGACTCTACGCGTTATAAACACAGCTCTTTTGTTAAATTCAGCTGCACAGCCGCACTGCCGGCAATAGAGGGCAAGATGCGTAGATAGTGTACCTTTCAGAGAGCTAGCATGCTCCCTCAGTTGAACGTTGAGGCAACGTCCCGTCTGTCCAATGTACGAGCCCCCGCATGACAAAGGGATACACCACTACGCTCACACAGTCAGTGAAACGCTTATGGTGAATTCCCCTGGGAGACCAGGAGCTCTCAAAAGCACGCTGAAAGTATTCTCTTTGGAGCCGGAGCCGGCGTGTTTCAGTAGTGGTTGAACAGGCACAGGAGCACTGCCATCCATTGCCAGAGCGAGAGTGCTTTTGCTACGCCGAGAGCAAACCCACTTCACATGAGGAACGTTTCGATCCCATGCATGGTCTCCCCACTCCTAACCCTCTCATCTGCTCTCCGGGAGCGTGCCCCATTCCATTAGCAGATCGAGTGGCCCTGCACTAAATGATCTCCTTCCCACTCCTAACTGCCCTACTCCTCTACTCCTGTTTTCTCAATGGAATTTGCCATTAGAGTGATTTATAGAACAACCTTCAGTGCTGACAGTAGCCTGCCCCTTCTGAACTCTGTCAACTCTCGCACACAAGCTTCCTAGCTTCTTTCCAGCACGAAAGACAACGTTTATGCCATAATGACTGGCCACCTTCTTGCTGTCAATATGACAGTGCAATCAGTGCAATCATTATGACTTTTTCAACAAGTTTTTACGGGGTGCCGCCGTAATCCCCTTTGAAATGTTGTAACTGTCTGAGTCCCTCAAATCACACTGTCAAGACAGTGACGTCAGCCTTTGTACTTCCATGTTGCAGTTCAGCAAAAAGATGCTTCTTCTCTGCGGCGGTAGCCACCTTTACTCTTTAACACTACCGTATGCCAGGGTCAACGAATACTTCAGTTACGTAGTTTCGCCACAGATGTGACGTTGTAAAGTTAACACTCCCAAGTGTGAAAGACAAGAAACATTCACCAAAGCTTTCCCTCGCCGGGCGTTGAACCTCTGACGTCTTGTAAAACAACTAAAAGCACCCGGTGCTCTGCCGACTGGGCTATTGAAACCACTTCTGCACTATTACGAACGCGTTTTATATCTTCCACACATTCTCTTTTGCTCCTTGCTCTCTGCTGGCGAAGCTAGAGTTACTGTATATGCTAGTAACTGTAGGCGAAGCGGGGTGGTGCCGCCGTCTATGAGTGTCCCAGAGAAGTAATGTGGCATCACGCAGTTAAAGCATGATGTCCGAGATTGTGCGCCAGCACGCAGTCTTGGAGGCCATGGCTGATCGAAGCGTCTTGATAGTGGTGAAAAACCTTGACCAATTGAGCATTGGAGAGTAGCTGACGCAGTTATGTTCTTCGCCTTTCGCTTCGTCTTAGAACGTGACAGGTCGTTGTTGAAGTCGTGCAACTTCCACATGCACCAACGATGTTTCACCGCCGACAACTCCGAGTATGATACGCCGGCTTACTAATTAAAACTGCATTGCTGCAGTGCGTACTGCAATGCAAACTGTTACAAATATATCAGTGTCACTACCTCTTAAGATCTTAACTGGTTTCCTCATGCGTCCAACATCATTACATAAAGTAACAAAACTTTAGGCTTTCTAAGACGTCATCTACAAAACACCTCTTCTCATGTTAAACTCATTGCCTACAAGTCCTTATTTGCCCAAAACTTGAAGTCGCATCTGGGGTGGAACCCTCGCCACAGCTACCTCACAGATGCTCTAGAGATGGTGCAGAACCGCGCCATCAGGTTCATTCACTCATCATATTCATGCAACGTAAGTGTTTCCTCGCTAAAGGTGGAAACAGGCCTGTCCACCCTTTCCCGTCGCCGTCGTATTGCCAGCCTATCTTTACTGCACAAAATGTACCACAGTTCATTCAATCAGACACATTATTTCTTAATTTTTCACCACATCCTGTGGTGATACCCCGTGTTCATAACGATACGCTGTGTTCAGGTACAAGTTAAATATTTCAGTTACCGCAACGGTGAAATCATGATAATAAGTGGTAGTCGTCGCCATGAAGACAAGCCTTTAGGCGTCAACGTGGCTGTGTTCACGTCAAACGACAACGCCGATAGCAATTGTACTGCGCAATAAGCAATGCCTTTATGAAGACACGTTCTACTTTCGTGTTATACCGATTTCTATGACATAGGGATCGGCCATGTTTTATACAATGTCTTTCGATTCATACAGTCATGTTTGAGTTGAGGTATGGGCTGTCTTTACAGACGCTCACACCCACGGATGAGAAAGAGCTTTACGTGATGCAAGGATGGCCTCCACTTCGGCGGCCGAGCAGGAGGAAGGAACACACAGCCCGAAGCGCAGGCCACGGACACGTCCCTTTTTGATAGCCTTGCGCGCCATGGTGAGGTTGAAGCGCTTCTGCATATAAAAACAACACCAGAGAAGTTTATTCTTATTGTTCTCGAACTTTGCAACGTTCTTTTAGAATGGTAAGAAATGTGAGGCTGACGGCAAGCAGAGGTTAGCGAGTCGGTTTGTGACAGATCATTGTTGTAAGTCAGATGCTTTAGGATGTTTTTCTTATGTTATCACATTAACGCTCTCTAAATTGAAATGAACTCATAGCCTCCATACGTCTAATCGAAGGTAATAACGTAACAACGACACTTTTAAGTTGACTTCTAAAAAATGCATCGCTCGTGTGGACCCTGCGGACGCCGTCGACCAGCTTTCACGTTTGCTGAGGCGTCTAGCACGAGTCACGGTGCGCTGCTGATCACGGTCAAACCCGCTTGTGGTCAAATTTATGTATACAGTGACTGGCTTCTATTTGGAGCTTGCGTAAAGAAGCCAACCACGATCAACAACTTCGATCTTGATTGGGCTCAATCGCGATCGAAAGTGACCGACGGCTTTCGCCCCAAAGCAGTGGGAGCATCACTTATTTTGACGCGGACGAGACAGGATCTCCAGGGCGAGGAACAGTCACTCTCAACTAAGGATTGCTTTCTAAAAACTATGAATACGTGCCATAAGCCTATTGGCGTTCCCCTAGCAGAAGACGAGGGAAAGTGGTCCTTTAAACAACTGTAGGTATAGATGCACCGAATGCATTCTTACCTTGATGACGGGGTAGCGCGTAAGCTGTGCGATGAGCTTGTCCATTGCCCGTGATTGCTTCGGCTTGAGAAACACGCTGCAGTACTGGCCTCGAGAGGAGAGCGAAGTCCGGTCTCCAGAGGTCGGCTCGAGTCTCGAAGCGAGGCACTCGTCGTATGCACCCAGATCTCCGGTGGTGCCTTCCAGGATGCCAGATGGAAACTTCCCCGTCGCGTCCAGAACTGCATACGCGCCGGCGGAAGACCAACGCGAGTTTTAGGGGCGAAGCTCCTTGAGCCGATTAAAGGGACACTAAGGGCAAATAACAGTTTACGTCAGAGTAAAAGCTCAATGTATGACAGCATCTAAAACGACAATATTATCCATAACAGGGCCCTACTTACCGAGAAATTAAGATAAAAGCACAAGAACACATGCGCGGCACTAGGACATTCTCAAAATTATCCCGATGACATCAGATGAACCGCCTACAATTGATTACTAGTAATTGATCTATCTGCACTAAATAATGAACCTCCCGTGCATTATGAGACCCAATAATTTGATTGATTGATATGTGGGGTTTAACCTCCCAAAACCACCATATGATTATGAGAGGCGCCGTAGTGGAGGGCTCCGGAAATTTTGACCACCTGGGGTTCTTTAACGTGCACCCAAATCAAGAGACGGAATAAAATGCTGCTTGATCGTTTCTGTTTAATTAATCTTAAAAGAACGACCGGACATTACTAAAACTCAATTTTTGCACGGTCAAAGTGGATAGGTCGTGCCATCTAGCGGGGCTCAGTTGAACCTAAATACGTCTACGATCTCGGAGCCAAAGGCTGGAAATTGATCAATGGCCAGTGTTGCTGCTGTGGCTCCCACTGTTTTCGGTCTGCTGCTATTAGCGCAGTAAAGCCGGGCAACGTTGTGCATGGCAACAGTGACGTGAGTCGGTCCGGTCAGTCCGCTTCTTCAGGCGGTTATATTAAAATGCGCTAGCCCAACGTGGACCACTCAAACGTGATTGTATTTCAAGACAGGTTCTTTCTTGGCACAAAAGTAGCACAACGAGCTTTCAAGACCGCTATTTGAACAATCAACGTCGACTTCATAGTTGTCTTTAATGTTTCTTTAAGCCATGGGTCATGCGCCCGCGAGTATGTAGTAATAGTTAGTAGTAGTAGTAGTAGTAGTAGTAGTAGTAGTAGGTAGCCACCTCCACGGCTGGACTAGAAGAGCGGCACGCATGCACTCTTTTGAATTGAGGAGGAAACCCGAGTACGTGAACATAAGGTCCTTCGATTCGCCTGCACCGCATGAACCAGTTCACGAAGTGGTGTACCTTGCAATTCGTTTCAGTGGTGCAGCATTGACGACCTCTGAACCCTATCATTCGTTTCGAAAGGTGCAGAGTAGGTGCAGCGCTGGTTCGCAATTTTCTTGCACCTCCTACGCTGCCGTTACCGGCTTGGTGCAGCCATGCGTGCAACTAAGCAGACGACGCAGCACTTAGGCATAAGCGCAGTACCCGCCTCCACTAACGCAACGTGTTTTGCCAAGATGTTTGCGCCTCTTAAACTCTACGCATGTGCGACTTCCCATCTGTAAACTAAGCGAACAGAAATAAGCCCAGCACTTTTCGGCACATCGTCATTCGTTTCGGGTGTCGCACTGTGCCTGCACCACTCAACTCGCGCTCCACAATTTGTGAACTTCGCGTGCACATCTGTGAACCTTGGCACAAAAGGTTGGTTCCAATTGGTCAGGTGAATCGAACGGACCTATAAATAAAAACGATAGTTGTTTCTGATAAAATAGCCAACAGATACGAGTATCAGTGACCCATTCGGCAATAAAATTTGCCTTGAGTTTGATGCTTACCGAAAAAAAAACTGGTAACAGAAGGACACACGTTGAGCACTATCTGACCAGAAAAATTTGCCACATTAAACTCGCTGGACGTCACCTCTTTGGTTTTAGCAAGGTTTAGCGAGGATTGGGCCGTAGTGCCATGAACTAGAGGCGGTGAAAAGTGGAAACTAGACACGAAGCGCAGCCTGTAAGTGCGTGCGTGCCGCTCCCCTATTCCGGCCATGCCACCTCTTGTTTAGTCCTTAGAATTTTCGCTGGATGACGGTACTTCTATATGATGAATATATGATGAAAAGATGGGAGATGGCGGTACTTGAAGTGTTCACTGGATGGGCGAACGGATAGCCAGACGCACGCACGAAAGCACGCACGGACGGACGGAGACACAAACGGACGGACGGAAGCAAGAACGAACGGACAGACGGAAGCACGGACGGACTGATGGATGCTTTGCCCCATTCATCATCATACACTCTGTGGATATGCTGCAATTCCTTTAGAAAAAAGGAACAATACGAGAACACACACAGACGTGTGTCTCCCTTGTGCGGATGGTCGGTTTAACGAATGTTTCACTATAACGAACTTTCAAGAAATTCCGGGCGGTTTTCTGAAAATCTTTAAGTTAAACCGATTTCTGAATTTCAGTTGAATGGACTTGACCCGTGGATACAGGCTCACCTCTAAAACGAAATTTCGCGCTTTACAGCACTGCTGCTGCGCGTTGAAAGATGTGCTTCGTTTGAAGAATATGTATAGTATCCCAATAAACTATCAGATTCGGAAATTGGTTCCAGAGTTTGTCGTGAGCCGGAAGAAGAAGACGACGAGGACGTAGTAACGGCTCAGGCAAGTTCAATGCCTGTATCTCTGGTCGGAGCTGTAGGGTACATTGCTGTAGGGCTGTGGGCTCCAAGTATACACTTTAGGAACAGTTTTTTTTTTCGTGTTGATAGCACAGCTTGCAGAAGCTCCTGCCTGCTGTGGGGACAAGAGCCGCGCGATGGTCGTTGCCGTCATAGCGCGACAACCTTAAGCGCCCCCCCCCCCCTCTGCCCTCCTTGTTCGATCACGAGATAAGCGCACGTGCAGATGATATGCGAAGCAGGAATGAGAAAGGTTGACATGTCACTTTAAAATCAGCACAACGTTACGATATGGAGGTGAAGGATGCCGTAGATGACTTCCGTGTCATGATTATCATGTTTAGATCTGTCGTTTACCTTCGTCATCTATTCACGTCACGTGATACCAAATTTAGTATATGTGGAGCTAGCGAAACGACCGCGAGCACGCAATGAGCGTGGTATGTTGTCATGTCCTTACATGACACGCGTGTCAGGATTATCAAGTTTGCACCAGCCATATACTTTCGTCATCTATTGATGTCACTGAACACCAAATTTCGTATATGTGGAGCTTGCACCACGGCCGCGAGCGCATCATGAAGGGCGCAATATACTCCAATGTAGCGTTGACGTGCGCGCATGCTGCGCACAGCGCCGCTAAGTTAGTAAAACGCGAGCACTCTATAATCATACGCCAGGCGAGACCGGCGCGGCCAGCGTCCATCAGCGCGGCCCGACGGCAACCGGTGCAAAATGCGACATCCTACATTTCGCGCCGATGCGTTACCCAGACAACACTGCGTCTTCCTCTTTTCGTGACGGAGTGCCGGACGCACTGAAACGTGCATGCATCAAAGCAACGCAGCACGGCACGCGCCAGCGAGTATATGGCAGGATCGGCGCCTGGCATCGCAACGCCGGCGTGACGCGTCTAAATGAACGCCTGCGAGCACACACACCGCGTCACGTCTAAATGTATTGTCGCCTTGACTGTGACATGTAGCCATGTTCTCACATGACGCACATCTCATAATTATCACTTTTGCACCAGTCACCTAACTTCGTCATCCATTGACGTCACGTAATACCAAATTTGGCATGTGTAAAGCTGGCGAAACGGCCGTCAGCGCAACATGAGTGTGACATGTAATCATGCTGTTGCATGACGCGCATGTCGTGATTATCATGTTTGTGGACTCACTCTCTGGATTTCGTGCCGATCGGTTGTGCCTCCGCGATCTGCGACGACAGCGCAGCTCTGGCCGACTGGCTCGCCTTACGCCATCTCCTGCCGCCGACAAGAGCTCTCGCTGAGTGGTGCCCCGTACTCGAACTCCTGCCACCGTATCCATCTTTCATACTTCGATCCTCCTTACTTCCGTCGTTTTTTGCCGTTCGCTGTCCCTGCGGCTCACTCTCTCCTTTCTCTCTCTATCTCTTTGCCGTTTAATCCTATCCTTTTAATTCCTCCTTACACCTATCCCTCGTGAGCTACTGTTGAGGTGTCGCACTCTGATGCAGACAGTTACGGAGCTCACTTTTCTCTTCTTTTCTCTTTAATAATCACATAAGTTATCATAGTTGTATGTGTCATTTACATAAGTCATGCGTTCGCGTCGCGTAATACCGAGTTTGGTACATGTGAAGCTAGCGAAACGGGCGCAAGCGCATCATGAGCGTAGCGTGACATGTTGTAACATGGCACGCATCTCATGTTTATCGTGTTTCACCAGTATCATACCTTTGTCATCCATTCACGTCCCACATTACCAAATTTGGTATAAGTGAAGCTAGCGAAACGGCCGCCAGCACATCATTAGCGTGGCATGTAGTCATGTTGTTACATGACACGCATCCCATGATTATTATGGTTGCTCCAGTCACATACCTTCGTCATCCATTCACGTACCGTAATACTATAATACTAAATTTGGTATATGTGACGCTAGCGAAACAGGTGCGAGTGCATCATGAGCTCGGCATGTAGTCATGTTGTTACATAATGCGCATGTCATGATTTTCTTGTTAGGGTCTGTCGCTTGTGTTCGCCATGCAATCATGCCATACCATACCAGTTTTGCAACATTTCATGTGAACGGAACCACCGCAATAGCTGCAGGACCTTGAAATGTAAATCATGACATTCATGACATACATGTTGTGATATTCATGTTATGACAAGTCAAATATGTTCCTCGTACAGTCATGTTATGCCATACCAAGTTTGGTATCGATACCATTATCGAAACGACCTGCAGGAGAGCTAAATGTCGTAGGCGGCTAGATAGATAGATAGATAGATAGATAGATAGATAGATAGATAGATAGATAGATAGATAGATAGATAGATAGATAGATAGATAGATAGATAGATAGATAGATAGATAGATAGATAGATAGATAGATAGATAGATAGATAGATAGATAGATAGATAGATAGATAGATAGATAGATAGATAGATAGATAGATAGATAGATAGATAGATAGATAGATACGATCAAAGTCACCGAAGTTC